CTGATCGCAGGAATGTGTGCTGAGTGATTCTTTAAGCATTATCCGGCAGGTCAAGGCAGGCTGGTTACGCAGATAGTGGTTTGAGTCGTTGCAAAACTCTCCTGTCTGTGCAGCTACCTTTATATTCGTTTCAGGGCATGCAGGCGGTGTTGGTAATGAGAGAGCTGTTACACTGGCAGTTGCTGCATTAATTGAACAGGCCGGTCATTGCCCTTCGAGAGATAGGACGCTCTGAGAATTTTAGAAGCAAGGTGTCCACATCACTGCTAAGAATACGCGAATTGGAATTAAAGATCGGTACAGCCAAGCATGAGAAGCACACCAGACACACACGAAGTTTTGTTAACCAACATAGGACTGGCACTATTAACCGCACGATCACCATCATTAAAAACCACTTCTGCCGTTAAGCGTCGTGGGGAGGAATCATTTGTGATCCAGTGCACGTTGGCTGCCACTGGCTTTTGTCATGCCGTAAAGGCGTAAAGTGCCTTTAATGTTGTCGATCCATTTTTTCCGCGGCCGTCCTCTTGCACTTGTAGTTGATATTCTGAGATGTTGTGCTTGTGATGGTATTTGATCTTGCTGCATTCTAACGAGATGGCCAAACCACTTGATCTGCTGTTTCTCGATGAATCTAGTATAAGGTATCGTTCCCACAATTTGCCTGATAGTTTCATTATTCACTCGATCTCGTACGATACTGATGCATACTTTAGGAGGGAAATCTAGGCGCCTATGGATGTGTCCGGAGTGCTGTGAAGATAATCTAACTCATAACACATAACTCATGCACACTCAAAACATAGCTTTGGAAAATCTGTGCCGCACCTAACACCACCAGAATTATGTTCTTTTTCGACTTTAACCGGCGTACCTAAGAAATGGTCTCATCATTTCAGTATGTCTTTTTTCCGAGGCTTCATTTCTAAGGGTGTATGTGTCTGTGTTCCACGAAGCTAGTGCACCCAGATTGGATCTATCTGTGCTAAAACAGGTATGTTTTAAAAATTAAACCCTGGACATTTGATGACATAAATATCACTCTGAGTGTAAACATTTGTTTTCTTCAAGTTCGAGGTCATTCTTTTCGTTTTTTTTAAATGATTTGCTACACGTTCAATTACATCACCCCTCCCCCTTCCAAGCTGAGTTAGGGAGTAAAAGGATAGGATGCAAAGAAAAAGTATTTAGATAATACAGCATAACAGTTGGGCCAGAAAAAATATGTGAAATGTCAAATGTACTCAACACAACAATAACAGGACAGTAACAGAACAATTTATTTAAATAGTAATATTGATAGTCACAGAAATAGATAGACTTAATTTATGACAAGCAAGGTAAAGCATTAGCAAGTTTTTTTTTTTTAATTTAACAGTTTGTGGATCTCTAATTTACATAGCCTAATAACCAAGTTGCGTATTTTAAATTCTACTGTTATTTCATATTTAACATATGCTAGTGAAAGTAGGAGAACAACTAAAAATAAGAAGAAAAACTCCACAGGGGAGCATATACAGCAGTAGTCTACTGATCATCAGTAGAAGATCCCAACTGTATCGGCCCATTATCCCCAAGACAATATCAGAGAGTGGGCCAATCTGTGCCATGAAAACCAAGTCTTGATCTTCTCCTGCTGCAATTTACCGGATGTTTCCGGACAGGGGCAAGAGGAAATTGTGAATATGCAATGAGTACTGTGAGATTCGAAGTTACATATACGTAAAGTCGCTTCGGTAGCAAATTATACCAGCCGGCAACCTTAACGACGAAGTGACAAGCTTACGGTTGGTTCATCGGACACGTGTTAGACTTAAACAGTTGGCAGAGAGACACTGGCAGACATCAATATTCTTATAAGAGAGGAGTCGAGAAAATTAAAAACAACTGCTCTGGCAAGTGGATGGACTGAGGAAACGAAGCCGACCAAAGATGAAGGTTGATGAGAGAGGTTAAAGGTACTGACTGAATTTGATTCATGACTGAGCAGAATTAAGAAATAGTCTGCGAGCGTTTGTGACCTATAAGGGTATACATGACGATGAATGAATGAATAAATAAACACACCCACCCCCCCCCCTTTTTTTTTCCTCCCCTCCCCAGACAAGAAGGTATCGATTGGGGTGAGATTAGTGAACAGGTTATCTATTACAAAAGTAATATAATCGTAAGTACGGTATTCCAGAGTTCATCTTTCCCCAATCTAGGCTCAGAAACATCCAAAATTGGCAAGGTACTTCGAGTTCTGAAGCGGTTTAGAATTACGTGACGAAATCATCTCACAGCATTCAGAGCGGCGAGGTTATGCCTAGGTTGGTCCATGTTACCTTCTATACAATTTTAGGAGTTCATTGTCAATATGTATAACCTAAATAGAGCAGAGTTACAAGAATCAGCTTGTTATTACTTTAACACCTTCTGCTACTGGATGATATACTCTGGAGTAACAAATGTGTGTGTCCAGCAAAGTTAAAATTAAGGAGCGTAATGAGTAAACTAATCCCAACAGCATCATGAACCAGGTCCTTTGTAGACTGTTGTTGTCATCACAGTGCGCCAGGAAGAAACTGAACCCTAATTAGCTCTCTAGTTTCAGGCCCATTCCTGTCGGAGGTGTCTTTTATGCCTAGCTTCATGCTTGTCGACCCCTACATCTCTTATCGGGCAGCATTACCTCTGACACTGTTCTGTCCAATCAACAGCGATATGGCCAAATTATTGACAGTTTTCGAGACAAAATGTGTGTACAAGTCACTTTTCATGTCTTTTTGATTGTCCTGTAACTTATGCCCCTATAGGATGACTGTTTTGAATGTGGTTGATGTTCAGATCTTTCAGGACATCTAAAATCATCTGACATCTTTAAAAAAATTTTAAAAAAAAAGGCATGTTAACATATTTGTGGTAGGGGCAAAGACGTAGGCGTTAGGCACTCGCACCAGGCCCGCCAGTCGCTCGTTCTATTTCACGGCGAGTCAATTAAAAAAAAAAAAAAAAACATTGGATAGCAGGTAATCTAGTCTTTATATGTGAAGGTTTTAATGCACGCGTTTAAGATTGGGGAAAACAGGCTTGGAAAATGTCTGGTGGAAGCAGAGGGCAACTGGATCAACGGCTGCACACCAATAAAAATGGCAATGTTATCAGGAGATACAGACACTGCCATTGATCACTGTCGCGAATCGCAAAACAGGACAGTTTAAGGTGTTTACATTGCGGGGATAAGAGTGACCACCCGTCATGTACTGTGCGGCAGTTCAATAATAGAGTAGCCCTGTGCAACAACTGTTTATGCCTTTTTGGCTCCTAAACGGACCGACTCGGGCCATGACTCCGAGCACTTTGGACTCGCCTGTAGCGTTTTGTATACGAAACGCGGCTTGTTTATTGCACATAACAATTTTTTTTAAAATGTAAAGGACTCTTTGAAACGCCTTTAGGCGTATAGGGAATGTAGGGCTAGACCTGTATTTTATAGACCAATCGTCACATGATGAATGATGTGGTCAGCATCACGCCGGCCGCTCTACTTTGCGGGACTGCACATGGTACCCACTCAAGTTATTGCACATGGCATTTGTTTATTGTTGGACGTCGCTAGTGCGCGCCAACCAGCTCCAGGAGTGAGTTAGCTGCTCAACCTGCCAGCTCATTCGTCATTGGACAGCCAGTCTCTCGCTATAATACCGGAAACCTTATGGCTTTGGACTCCACTATGGTGCAGTCCAAAAGTGGAGCAAGAGTGGACAGAACACATTGTAATTATCACATGAAAACAGTTGTTTAAAATACAGAGAAAGGGCGCGAGGCTTTGATGGTGATAGCATTAGCGAACAGAAAATGCTCTGTTACTCTACTAGCAAGTGATTATTCCGGTGATGGAGTAGGGTTTGGGACTGCTAACAATATCCCATACCCAAACAGAGAAGCTGGAACGCGTGCAGAAAATAAAGTAATTGATAGCAGGGACATCGACTGAGCTGACGTGACTCTTATGCTACACAAGCTGAAATCACTATAGGGAATGATTGTACTGTTGACAAAATAACATAAGGTAAAGAATGGATCTCAATGTTGCTCAGAAAAGAGCCTTTCATGAAGTGACAGTTACTTTAGGTCTAGAGTGCTGGGAATGGATATCAAGTGACACAGAGTCAGCGGTGTAAGAGCTGAACCATGAAAACTCACGCCTAGATTTTATACCAATATATAAACAGATGGGTCTGTAGTGAGATGCATGATGTGGGTGCTACCGTACAACATGACTACATCCAGTCAGAGAATGGAGGCTGAAGGAGTAACGCCAGCGTTACGATTGCTTGACAGTAGCACAGCCCGACATGTTGTTACTGTATCTCGCTCCTTGAGTATGCATCAGAAAATCGAAGCTTTCGTTTCATGTGCGCAGAGTGGTTTGCATCACTTAATACGACTGAGTTGAGGAACATATCATATATGAATTTTTTAATTGTCCTGGTATGTCAGGTAAAGAACAGGCTAATAGATTAGCTGCTCTCGCTCCTCTGAGCGGTGCGACTACATACATTGAAAGACTAATTCAACAGGGGTGGGGATGGTAGGGGATATGGGGGGGGGGGGTGGGTATATGTTCTGGAAGATATTCAGCGCTGAAGGAGAAGCATCAGCAGACTTTTAATCAGGTTGCAACTGGTATTATATGCATGTCTCTTTTCGTTTGTTTCTAAAGAAGGAGATGAGCACGTACAGGAATGCTCCCCTAGCAGTGATGTTGATTCTTGATTAATGTATTTATGCACATGAAAAAAAAAGAGGTGACTGTAAAAAGTACTGTTTATTGTTTTTAAACACGCCCCAACAAATGCAGAATAGATTGAACTTTACCGTTTAAGTAAAGTGCTGTAATGTTTATTATACTCAGCATACATTGTTTTTAGAAACTTGTTTTTTTTTTCTGTTATTGCTGGTTTTGGCCCTAATTATATCAGAATATATGCAGAAATCTCTAAGATGGTGTG